GACGCCCCCGCCTGCCGCCCTCCTGTCCCCTCAAAGGGCTCCGTGTCCCCTGGCTGGAGGGTGTCACAGCTTTCTGAGCACAGCATAGTCTCAGGGGGTGGGGTACCCTGGGGTGGGTACCCCGTCCACAGAGCTGTCACCCCATCAGCATCGCTGTGACTAGGCCTGCACACAGGGAAGTGAGAGGCGAGGGCCCTGAGAGGCGAGGGCCCTGGTGCAAGCAGGCGTCCAGGGGCGGGAATTCTGGGAAGGTTTCTGAGTGACCGGCTGCCTGGAAGGCCCCCCCGGCCCGCTGCCCGCTGCATGGACACCTGTCCTGAGGCCGGGATTGCATGCGAGAAGCCGGGGACACTGCAGGGCCTGCCCGGCTCCGAGTCCAGGCTCCAGTTCCCGTCTCACCGCCTGGGCAGCTGTCAGGTCCCCCAGAACCTCGCTCATTGCTCCCCCCTCAGGGCAGGGCACAGCCTGGGACCCCCAGCCAGACCCCCAGGAGTCACCTCGACCTGGAACCTGGTCCTGCCCAGGCTGCGATGCCCCTCCCAGGGGCCCTCCCCTGCCCCTCCGAGCGGACACCCACCACACCTGCCCAGGTGCGGCCTCAGGTGCTCCCTCCCTCCTCGGACGGCACTCAGGGCCCTTCTCTGTGGACCTCGCGTGTCTCCCTCCCCTGCCTGGCACCACCACCTGGCCGTGCCTTGGCCACCTCAGACTGGACCCTCTCTGGACCTCCTGCCTCCTCCCAGCCCCCCAGGGCCCCTTCTCACTCTATTGGAGGGACCACATGAAGGCCTGCATCCTGCACTGGGGTGGGGTGCAAAATGGGGGGCTGCCCCAGGCCACCACGGCCCCTGCCCTCAGCCCCCCGTTAGGACCCAGGGGAGGTGAGACCAAGGTGCAGATGTCCCTGTCCTGGGCCCCCCCACCGCCTCTGCAGCTGGGACCCCACCCCCATCGCAGGGTACTCAGCCAAGCGTGTCCCCCCAGCTGTGGACTGGAAGGTGGCCACACCCACCGAGCAGGGAGCCTCACACACACGTGGTCTCCTAGATGGCGTCGTATGTGCCTGCCGTGTAGGGAGCTGACGATTCCCGGCTCCTTATACAAACCAGCCGCCTGCCCTCCACCCACCACTCCGACCGCTGCTCCCCCGGGGCAGGCACTTCCTCTCTCCTTGTGTTTTTTTAAAACCGAGTTTTTGGTGTTTATGTCTGTATTCCAAAATAGCACGTTTGTGTTGCTGCGTCTTGCTTTTCAGCGTGGTCAGCACCCACGCCTGCCCTCGTGGGAGAAGCGGTGTGCACTCTCAGCGCTGCCCACCCCGCACCCCTCCTCCCAGCACGCCCCCCCCTGTGGGGAGAGGGTGTGGCTTAAGTCATGTGACCCCTTCATGCAACTCAGCAGAGCCAAGTCCGACACTGCGACCGCCTTTCCTGCCTTATCTTTTCCCCAGTTATCCGTCGCTATGCCCTGTTAGGTTTGTTTTTTAAAATGTGCTTATTCCTCATGCGATGCCAAACTCTCTGCGTCTTGTCCGCGTCAAGCTGGCCGGCCGAGCCCCAGGATCACGGGCCGAAGGAGAGTCTGCTTCCCCCTCCGACCCCTCTGAGGGAGCCGCTGGGGCCTTAGGGGGTGAGGGAGTGGGGAGCGCTCGCCCGCTCTTGCTGGGGGTCTTGCGCCCGTTTGGTCTGTGCTGGGAGAACACTATGTGTGCAGACCCTGAGTGCCTGGCGCGCAGTGGGCCCACAGCATGTGCGCTTCCGGAACTGCCGTCCCGGCACTGGC